TACCTATTGTGAGCATTCTCCTTAACTGAATGGGTAAACTTGAATTTTTACTTGAGTCCCCAGCATCTCATAGTGACGGAATTAAGTCGATGTTGAGAAAATCAAAAAATCAGAGTTTTAAGTAGTCTGTCTAAATATCTCTACCCCTCTGAGTTGTTCAGCTTGTTAGACTTGCTCTTGTGATGTCATGAGGCATTCTCAAGTAATCATAGGCTTTGTCTTCACTGGGAGAAATGGTAGAGTTTTTTTTTTAATGTTAACACAAACATGTTACAATCCTACTGTACACAAGGCAATTGTAGTTTTAACATGTGTGAGCTGGTCAAGGTGAATCTGAGGCTCACCCATAGGTTTTACCTCAACCAGATAACGTGTTAAACTACAGCTGCTTTGTCTATGCAAGGATTTCAACACATGTTGAAAGTGCACCTTTTTTCCTTAGAGGCCACAGCGTCCTCCAAGGTGGACAATAGGATGTAAACTTGTATAGGGAAAAAACAACCAGCAGGGAAAAATTTTAGAAGGAGAAAAACTCCAGACGTTTCAGGCAGTCTCCCTATGTAACCCTTCTGCCAGGTGGAGCCAGCAGCAACCAGGGCCGGGTTCAATATCTAGGGTTTCCTTTCCATCGATGCAACACAAAACCAGCTTGAGCCCCCACCCAGTAACCTGAGAAAATGACACACCACCCCCTGGGTGCCTCTGAGAGGCAATACTTCCCTACGCACAAGTCTGAGTGTAGAAAAGAAACTTTTAATAAAAGGAGGCAAGTAACTGGGTGTTAAGTTGGGAAAACACTGCAAACGGGGTTCATAAATGTAAACCATGAGCAAAAAACCCACCCCCCAGTAAGTTGGGCAGTGTCCTTTTCCTCTCAAGGTCACCAAGCCAAAAGTCCCTTTTACATGCCTGACCGTTCTCTGCACCCCATTCACAGTTGCTGTCCTTGAGCAGTGCAGACCCAGAGTTCAGATGTGCATCTGCAGAGTTCACCTCCCACCCTGAGGGGAGGTAAAGCACCTTACTCCCTCCACTGCTCGAGCGTTCACTCACCACCCCTCTCTGTGGGGCTCTGCTCTGGTCCTTTCTGCTGGCCACGCCTCTCCACCAGCTGCCCTGCTGGCTGCATGCTGTGCCTCACCAGACACTCGTTTGCTTGTTGACTGTCAGTCATCTTCTGCTGCCACCTGCCTCTATGCTGTGACCTCTGCACATCAGTCTCTTAGTAATTTTCAGCTCTCTGCAGGCTGGGTAGACACAGCTCCATCTCAAGTGATTTCAGCTCTCAGTGATTTTTAAGCTCTTAGAAGACAGGGCAGAAACACAGTCCTACCACAACATGGTTTCAGCTGTGATTGAGCATTTAAAATAACAAAGAGGCTCCTAATGAAGCCTGTTTAAGCAGTGGGGAGGAACAGGTTTAACTAGTCTAGGAAGAACCCTTGGGGAGGGTTTGCAGCCTCCTAGTTAGAACACCTGCCCCCCACCCCTCTTATCATCACAGTGCTCTGGCATTCAAGCCCCTGGCTTAACCAGGTTCTTTCAGCTGAGGGGGACCCCCTTATTTGGGACAGGTTAAGCATAGTCCTGCTTTCCTGTATTCCTACAATAATTACAACATTGGTAACCATATTTCACTACCCCTGCATTCAGTACTAAGGTGATTTGTAACCCAACACCAGCCAAAGTTGATTACTTTGACACCGCTCTATCTGCTCAATATCTATGTAAATACAGTTTGCTCCTGCCCTGCTTAAACACACCCAAAGTCTCTACCCCACCCAGCTAGCTGTCAGGGAAGCATTCATTCAGTTCCTGCTTACACATACATCATAAGCAAATAAACAAAATGGCCATTTTTGCTGGTCACCTTTTGAGGCTGAGCTTTTATCCTATACACCGCATTTCTTGACTTACGGATGCTTTATTTCTCATCTTAAAGTTGCTTTCATTTTTTTCTAAGGGCTCTGTCATAAACATACAGCTAAGGGTAGCATAAAATCCCTCTTTACCCTGTAAAGGGTTATTCCTCTTTTACCTGTAAAGGGTTAAGAAGCTCAGATAACCTGGGTGGCGCCTGACCAAAAGGAACAATAAGGGGAGAAGATACTTTCAAATCTGTGGGGGAAGGTTTTTTGTCTGTCTCTCCCGGAGTCAATAAGGAAACAGGGCAGGAAAAATACATCTCCCTAAGCCATATCTGAACTAAGCATCTAGTCTTGCAAAAATAGTAAGTAATAGCAAAGAAATGTGTTAAATTACCTTTTGTTTTAGCTTGTGAATTTTCCCTGTGCTAAGAGGGAGGTTTATCCCTGTTTTTGTAACTTTAAAGTTTTGCCTAGAGGGGAAATCCTCTGTGTTTTTTGAATCTTTTGTTATTCTGTAAAGTACTTACCATCCTGATTTTACAGAGGTGATTCTTTTACCTTTTCTTTAATTAAAATTCCTCAGTTAAGAATCCGGTTGATTTTTTTCATTGTTCTTAAGATCCAAGGGTTTGGGTCTGTGTTCACCTGTACCAATTGGTGAGGATATTATTCTCAAGCCTTCCCCAGGAAAGGGGGTGCAGGGCTTGGGGGAATATTTTGGGAGAATAGGACTCCAAGTGGTCATTTCTCTGATTCTTTGTCTAAATCACTTGGTGGTGGCAGCATACTGTTCAAGGCAAGGTGGAATTTGTGCCTTGGGAAAGTTTTTAACCTAAGCTGGTAAAAATAAGCTTAGGGGGTCTTTCAGGCGGGTCCCCACATAGGTACCCCAGAGTTCAGAGTGGGGAAGGACCCTTAACAGGCTCTTATAAATGTAGTTCTACACAGCATTTACTTGTACCAGTAGAAGAGAATCCATTTATTCTGGATTTAGCCAAAGTGACTCAAATAGTTAGATGAAATTTAACTATGAAACCAACAAATGATCTCTCTTTTGCTGGTGATATTTGTATACTGTATATTGTTAAGTAATTAAATATATTGAAGAGGGAAATTATTTGTTTTTTTTAATGATGAGCATGCTAAAGTTTTAGACTCTTGCAGCAAGATTGTGGGGATTGAACCAGAATCTATCTCTCAGCTAGTCTAAATGAACACATCAGTTAAGGTTGTTTGTCAGCTATACCTGAAATATTTTAGGGGTTGTTTCCCACCCCTCTTCCCCAGCTAATTCCAGCTGCACTATAACCTTAATCTGTTTTTGGTGTTTAGTATTGTCTTGATGACTTAAGTTGCATAACCTTTTAATTTAACTTTCTTAGCTGTACACATGTTTAATCTTCGACCAGCTGTCTCTCATTTGTTAAAACCACTTTTCTCGTGTTGCTGTTTATGGACTTTATTGGGAAATATGTAAATAGATGAAGCTATATTTGATGCCCACTTTTTTTTCTGAGTTTTTACATGGCCCTTATATCAGATGATACATTAAATTCCATAAATAAATTGAAGCATACACACGGAAACGTTCTTAAGCAGAATGCTTACTGAATTAAAACAGCCAGGTGAAAATGACTGTATTTTACTTTAACATTCTGCATATGAAAGAAAACTTTACCTATTTAACCCATCAGTTTAAAAGTTCATAATTTAACAACCATTCTTAGAAAGGACAAACCTGGAAGTTCACTGAACCATGCATTTCTTTTTATTACGGTTGGCAATCCTGAAACTCCAGCAGACAGCACCTCATTTTTAGGCATCATTTGTGAAACAACACAATCAATTTCAGATTCCTGAAAAAAAGGCTCAATTCAGCTTTAATCACAGTGCTGTTGCCAAATGTACCAGGTACACTGATCATAATGTACCTTGTTTAAAAAGTACCTGGGGGTGAAATTCTGGCGCCTCTGCAGTCAATGGGAGTTTTGCCATTGATTCAGTGGGGTCAGGATTTCACCCACAGCATGTGCTCTTTAAAAGAAATTGTTGCATCAAGACGTATTCAGAGAGCTTCTGGTGACATGCTGGAATTAAGAGGTTAATACTGGGTCACACTTAGAAAACTCTATGCCTGCTGGAAAAAAGTTGTTTGAGACATGCCCTCTTGGAAAACTAGATTAGGAGTTGGCGATTACTTCTCAGTGTTCTAATAGATAACCATGATAGCACTTTATTTGTGTACACTTTAAGCAGTGCATAAATAATAAGGGACAAATTCTGCTCTTTTGGTAGGTAGGTACTCACCGACATTACAGTTATATGTAGGCAGTTCTTATAAAGCGCTTTCTTCAGAAGACTAGAGCGTGTTTAGTCAGCAGCTCACACACAGTCACTTTTCAGTAGAATTGTGGCAGCCAGCAGGAGACTAGGAAAAACAGCCATTATTGTTTAAATACTTGTAATCTCCAGTATTTTTTACAGTCACTGCTGCTGAGCAGCAGGGGATTGGTTTTGGTTTTGGTTTGTTTGTTTTTTTGTGAACATACTGCTGGAGTGAGCTAAATCAGCATAGTTTGCCTTTGAAGGAATGTGCTCTGGTATTTTCAAGCTTTCCTCTGAAAGAGAGGAAGTTGCACGGAGACAACCCTTCATCATAACCTCTGCATTTTAGTTCAAATTAATTAGCAAAGATGAGGTAAAATTAAATACGCAGAAGGACTGAACTGCAAACCTGAAGCTAACTGGTACCCAGATACTACTCCCTCAGCTAAACTACATTCATTGCATTAATAAATCACATGTGTACCTGAACATTGACCACATCATTTTGGCTTCGAAGAGTGAGTCCTGCAATACCTCATTGATGGTTTGAGAGAGAACTTGCAATGATTAAAAAAATGCTTTATATTTGTAAAATCCTCAGGGTAAATCCTGACTCAGTACTGAACTGCTTCTCTTTCTTATACCATTAGATTTGTTGTGACACAACAACATTGGAGTGATTGCAGGCATGAACCGCGGTCAGTTTTTAGCTGGTAAAAGTGTAAGGGTTATGACTATTCAGATGCTTTTTATATAAAATTTGAGTACAACAGTAGGTGCCTGACACACATGCTCTTTCTGCTGTAGGTGTTGGATTGAAGCCCAAAGAAGAGGACCCAGAATGCAGTACAAACAGAAGTCTATGAAAGGACATATGCAACCTAGCCTGAAGATTTGGAGAAGCGTTTCCTACTAGCAGACCTGATGGAGCTGCTCCTAGCGAACATTTGACAGTGGTTCCTAACTTTTTTTTTTTTTAACTGCACTGGTTTACCAGATTAAGCCCTCAGCTCTTCTATCCTCTCATTCAATTGTGTGTGCTCTAACAATGCAATTTATCTTACGATCATGACCTTGGGAACCAAGCAGCCTCAAACGTGGGTTAGTATGTGTCCAAATGAAGAGGAGGGGATCCAGGATAGGGGTGTGTCAGGGAGGGAAAGCTGGGTATACTAATTACAAAAGCCTGAAACTCCTGTAGTGGTTTAAGCGGTTCTAGATATTCCAATCTAAATCTGTTTTTCATGCTCTTTAATTAATGGTGTAATGCTGAAATGTGTTCTGTAGGTGGAAGTGATGGCACAGAAATGAAGCCATTACTAACATTCCTGGAACACACAGGTACTTAGTTGCTAAGTTAAGTTTTGCATATCGTGCCTCTGCTTCAGCCTGCCAAGCTATTCCATCCGCACTATGTAATAGCTTCAGCTACCAAAAGACAAGCAGATTTGCCACAATTGCCTGTTCTACATAGGGGTAATCTGTCTCTAAAACCAAACCCATTATTCTTACTTTGGGGACTAAATCATCCTTTGGATCACTGGCAGATTTGTTTCCTTCATGGCAACAGGGTCCTTCTAAACCACTCAAATTTAAATCTGTCAAATTTTGTGCAGCTCCATGTACAACATTTCCCATCAGTGGAAAATAGTCACTTATTTTTCCATCACCATGTCCCCCAAGCAGTTGGACAGGATGGGGGCTAGCAGAAGTTTGTAACTCATACTTCACTAGAGGGCAATGGACGGCTGGGCAGAAGGAGGGGCAGCTTGTAGGAGCCAGGGTTGACTGGAGAAGTCAGTCAGAATCAAGATATTGGAGGGAATCTAGGCAGCCCATCGGGAAGGTAAGCTAGGAGCTTTATGGGTTGAGAGAGAGGAGAAGGGGCAGGAGAGCCTGAGGACATAACCAGTGTCATTGGATCGGCTGAGCAAGGCCAGGAGTAATCTCTGCCACCCCACCCATCCCCTTCTGTAGCAGTCCCCCTTCAGCACTATTTCACACCCCCCCCCAATCTGTTCCTCACCCATGATAAAGAGTGACTTTTGCAGCATGCTGTTGGATCCAGAAGGAGCATTGAGACTAGAGGAGAACCTGCACTAGTATATCCTAGAAAGGCTTTGCTGGTGCAGTTGTACCAGCAACATCACCTACTAGAGACACAGTATATATGGGCAAAGGGAGTTCTTTTGCTGGTATAGTTAAAACTGTATGACATCAGCTGTGCTGCCAAAAGAACTCTCTTGCTAGGATAAGCTGTGCTGGGGGGGGGGGAGGTGGGGGTTGAGAGAACAGGGTTTCCAACATCACTGTGTCATTTAGGGGCATGGTTTTCACATGCCGAACTTGCCATAGCAATGCTGGGAAAACTTTGTCATGTACACATGGCCACAGTCTGCCTGCAAGAGTTCAGATGTCCAGCAATCCAGTGCAGTGGTCGGGAGTAGTGATTACAAGGAAGTCACTGCAGCATGTGTGAGGTTACAGCACAGCTGTGGGAATGCAGGAGGAGAACATCATACCCAATCCAGAACACATGACATCTCAGAATAATGAAAAACAATTTTACCTACCACAAGCCCTAGGGCACCTGACAGTTTACTTAACTCAATTCCTAGACTGCCTCAATGCCTTGCACTTGAAGTTAGAGAGCCTTGTTTTCTCCATTAGCCAAGGCACCTCAGCAGAGCTGCTCAGCTGGCAGGGAGGCTTTCAACACCGCTAACAAGACAGACCCACAAGCTCATTGGCCTGTATATACCTCAGAGAGTGTTTCTCCTGTGAGCCCCCTCCATCCATGTATATGGGTGATTTGTGCCTTTCTTTCAGCAGATCAGCTCCAACCCCTCCCCCTAGCACTGAGGCAGTGCTGGTTTCTCTGAACAGCTTCGCCTAGGTGGTGATTAGGCCAGGGCTCCATTGAACAGCTTCGCCTAGGTGGTGATTAGGCCAGGGCTCCATTGAACAGCTTCGCCTAGGTGGTGATTAGGCCAGGGCTCCATTGAACAGCTTCGCCTAGGTGGTGATTAGGCCAGGGCTCCATTGAACAGCTTCACCTAGGTGGTGATTAGGCCAGGGCTCCATTGACCAGCATCGCAACTCTGAGGCTTCTTCAAGCCTGAAGGCTGACACTCCAGCAAATGACACTTCAGCTGCTGCTCTCTTTCCCACCCAACTGTTAGGCTAGTTCTCTGAGGAGCAAGATGATGAATCCAAGGCCTCTGCACTTCAAGGCCAGTAATACAGTAAATGCCTCAGCAGCTCTCCTGCCTCCGACTTGGCAGGGAAGGTAAAGTTCTTGCTTAGTGCTTAGACAAAGCAGGAGTTACTCCAAAGGCCACAGCTAATCAGCTGCCTCACATCACTACTTCTGCAGCAGTCTCTTCCCTCACTGACCTTCGGAGAAGTGATATTTTTCTGCATTGTTTTAAAAGCTCTGGCTCAGAAGAATAATGTTCACGCTCCAGTGTTCCAGCAGCAGAGTGTTAAACTGGCTGTCTGTGTTTTTAGAAACACGGGGTAGATGTGTAGGGAAGGGGGTGGGAGCTGTGCTAATGAAGACATCATTTCCTGCTTCTCCCTTTGCTTTCCCTTCTCTTAAATGTCCAGCTGCAATGAGACCAAGCTGCTCATTCTGCACTGTCCTCCTGGATATGTTCCAGAAAAAAGGGCCAGATTGTCAAGTAGTGTAGATCATTGCTGCTCCAATAGAACTATACCAATTTACAGCAGCTGAGAATCTGACCCAGGTTTGATTTTTAGCTTGATTACACGTCCTAAAGATGGTAGGATTAGTGTACTGCATCTAGATAGAAGGCTCTAGCACCCTCTGACTGAGTTCTACAAGCAAAAAATGACCATAGCTATTGGGAGAAACATTTAGCCCAGGTGATTAGTATTTATTATTTGTATTTCAGCAATGCCTAGAAGCCTCTACCAGGGAAAAGTAATTGCCCCAGGAATTCAGCTTAGCAACAACCTCTCACTACATAAATTTTAAGAAAGTAAACATATTATAGAAAATTAAAATGGAAAGGTTGGTACTTGTTCCAGTCCAGTTCACTCCCCCTAAGTCTCAGCCTGGGGTTACTGTCACCCATATTTGCCAGTCCTATGACATTTTAGTGCTTCTCCTCATTCCTTTAATATTTCTGCCTTGGCCAAGGAGGACTGGTGAGGCTACAACTTCACATTGTTCAGAAAAGGCATCAGGTAAACTATAATATTTCTGGGGAATTTGGAAAATTCACACCTAGGGCCTTAAGATCTGACCCTTGGGTAAGGGTAAGTACACAACTCTGATTAGTCAGTGAGAGTCAAGGGAGATCAGCACTAGGCCTGCTGTAATTTTTAGTGAATCCATGTTTTCTTGTCCTCTCACAGAGATCAAGTGCTTCTCTCATCTCATGCATAGTCTCTGGGTGCTTGTCTTCACTAGACTCTTGTACCTAGAGTTAACTGCCAGCTAACTTGAGCTAGCTAACATGTGTGTCTTTACCCTAGGGAAGAAACCAACCTTTGTAATCTGGATCAAGCTTGTGGGGAATGTCCATACTAGCTTTTATAAATGTGTTAGCTACCTCAAGTTAGCTGGCAATCAGTTAACGCTAGATACAACAGTCTATCGAAAACATACCCTCACTGTCAGTCGTTGCATTTCTTAGGGTGTCAGGACACTTGGCTTAGCAAGATTTCATCATAGACTCTTTCATAAGCTCTCTTGGGTTTTGTCTTCTCTCTCAAAAAAGATGCATTTTTAACTGGTTTTAACCACAGGAAAACTAACACACCATTAGCTATCCTGCTGCAAAATCCTAGTGGAGACAAGGCACGTGTCGTTTTTACTGTGAGGTAGGTAGGCAAGGTCAGTACTGTCCATGCTTGACCTTGCCTAGTCTTCTGACAGTAAAAATACAGGCCCAGATCCTCAGCATTATTTAGACAGCTAACTCCCATTGGTTTCACCCCTTTTTTTGCAATGATGACATAGCCTGTGTCAGATATAGTGGCTAGCCATGCTTGAGATGCTTATTGTCAAGGAGATAAATGTCTCTCTCAAGTGGTTGTTACAGGAGTCCCTGAAAATATAATGGAGGACAGACCAGAAATAATTATAAAACAGTCTCTTCCAGGAACCTGTCACTCTTGAACTTAAATATCATGGATGTGAAGTCTTGTTGCTACCAAATATGACATCAACAAATGTGAAATTCCTGGTAAAATGAGGGACAAAGCACATTCAAAAAGAGTTGCTTACCTTTTAAATAAATATACTTTGATAAAGGTCCTCTGCAAAGGAAAATAAACTAGGTTTATGCCTGCCCTCTCCCCTCCCTTCTTTTTTTTTCTTTTTGGTCTATAAAGGATGCCTGAAAAAGTGTTTGAAAAAAGTTTTGTTTTGTGTTTTCCTTTTGTTTTTTCACACTAGAAATTCAGATCCCGTCTAGGCTGCAGGATTCTATGATGGCAGGAGAAGTAGTGAAATAATGTAAGCCAAGTAAGTGAATGATCAGCAATTAAGGGGGAAAGGGATTTTTAGTCGGACTGTTTTATACTTTGGGGTTTGTTTTTTAGCATCTATTTTCCTTCAATGACTAATTGACATATTTAATAAAGGATCCCTATTGTTAAAGATTCAACACCCTTCAGTTAAAAGCTCAAAATAAACATCTCACAGCCCTCCCGGTAGTTATTCAGCAAAACCAGGGAAGACTAAACTCTCTCTGATAGTTCTAAATGTAAATAACCATCAGGAATTTCTTTTTAAAAAAATATCACTCACTTTATATGTCATAAAAGAGGGGAAAGGACACAATTCCCACTTTTAAAGAAATTCTTTGCAGGTCGGCTTTAAGGGAAGGCATGTTTTGTGTAGAAGGTTTTTCTATTGAACATATGTTTGCTTGAAGTCCCAAGCATTTCAAGCTGATCTGAATTGCAGCTCTAAGTCTCTGTATTAGGACCAGATTTAAAGTTTGATTGAGGTATTTTAAATCTGTTCCTAATACAGAGACTTATAGATGGATTACTCAAATCAGCTTGAAACTATTGGGAATTACAAACCTGGGTTAGAGAACTTCAGATTGTCTAAATTAAGACTTTAAGATAATTTGAAAATGAATACGTAACGCAGGCAGACGTGCAGTAATCAAAAGATTTAAATTAAAAAGACACATTTCAGTTTTCACACTGCATCATGTATTAGGTGTTTCCAAATTATTTTAGAAACAATGAAGAAAATCTGAAGACTTCTCGCCCTGGGTTTGAAATTCACTATCATATATTACAAGGGAAAAAAGTAGTCCCTTGTCAATGTAACATTTGCAGTGGGAAGTGAAGCCACTTAAAATGTGGTATACGTTTTTATGGCTACCCCCATTTTAAAAATATGAAGCCTGATAGGGAGAGTGGGTCTTGCCCAGGAAGCCTTCTCTACCTTTTGCAATGTGCTGCCAAAGCTTGATCACAAACACAGTCTCTGCCTTTAGGGGCCCATGGGGGCTGCTCCTTACCTGTACTGATGGGAGCTCATATCACACTAAACCAGGCAGGGAGATAGCAAAGCCCCAGCTCTGTTCCCCCTCCTCATCAGTTCAGTGCAACCAGAGTAGTAGAGTCCACCAGTGTAAGGGGATGGGTGGGGTAGGAGGTGCAGCCTTTGCAATCTCTCTGCACACCAGGCAGCAAGGCTGTGTGTAGTTTGTTCAATCTAGCCAATTGTTAGCTTCCACACAGTGAACCCCAGTTGGGTTCTATAATAACTATTCATATCGTACTTTATTATGGAGGTCATATTTTTTCCCTCTGTCAGTCCTTATCTTCAGGGATTGAAAGCAGAATCTGAAGCCCTTGGACTAAGTGTAGTGCAGATCAGTGCTGGGGAGCTGTCAAGAATTCCCATCAGAAGCTAAGCTTGTAGCATGCTTTGCATGCAGTCAAAAACAGCTACTGCACATCACCAGATATTTTGTATGCTCTTCAGAGCACTGTCTCCATCTGTGTTTGGAAAGCGTTTTGTGCGCTTTGGGTGCTACCGCATTCTAAACAATGTACACCTGTTAATGGTGCCAGTTGGTTGCCACATCTGGGAGCAGCTGAACCAGTACCTTCTGCAATGCTTTCTCTTCACAGAAAGCCACAGGTGTGGGCATTAGTGGATTACTGGGCTGTGAGGCACAAGACTGAAAGCAATATCCTGAAAAACAGACTGTCTGAATAATACACATTGAAGCTTCACGTACTGCCGTTAAAGCATAGTGCCCCAGGCCTGGCTTTAGGGGGAAAGCATCACTAACTTCAGTGAGGGCTGTGGGTCCTAGAAGCTCTGAAAGTTTTGCCACTTATTTAACTGCCTAAATATGGATTTGGTGTCTTATGTAGGGTAGTAAGGTTTGAAAATGAGGGTCTCATTGTCTGCAGTCATACTCTGAAGGAAGGTACATTAGATATCTTGAGAGAGACAAGGTGGGTGAAGCAATATTTTGTATTGGACCAACTTCTGCTGGTGAGAGAGAGAAACTTTAGAGTTTCCACATAGCTCTTCAGGTCTCTACAACACTGCATACCTTAAATGCCTGACAGACAAATCAAGTAGTATCACACTAGAGCTGTGTAACATTTTAAAAAGATTTCAGTTGTGCCCTTTGAATCCAGCAGGAAGTTTCAGATACATTTGCAAACTTTGCACATGCCTGACAAGTCTGCATATGTGGAATGACTTGGTGCCACCTCACAGAGAAACAAACTTGTAAGGGTTGTTTGCTGCCTCTGAAGTGGAGCAGGTGAGGTGCCACCCATATCATCTCCTCTTCTCCATTCCATGGGGGGGAATCAAGGAGTAAGGTCAGAAAGCACATTCAACAGCAAGTCACAGGTAGGGATGTATTGGTTCTGACTGTATTCACCTGTAGCACTAAAGTACTCATTTCAGTGGAATGGCCAACCTTCTGGACTGTATGTAATCCCCTGAACACTGCTAGTGCTGGGAATGTATGTTGTGGGTGCATTAGGCCATTCCAATACTGGTAATTAGAGCATCATTGCCTAGTGTGGGTTCTGTATTCTACATAGAAAAGGATACAGTCAATGTACATGGGATGAATGCTGTTCTGTATGGGTTCTCAAGATATTTTACCATAGAAAGCTGGAAGCTCATTCTTTTTTTTTTTATTAATGCGTTTGGGATTTTATTTTTATCTTGTGTTTTTTAAGTACATTAATACCTCCTCTCCTCTTTTATTGTACTGGTTACAGTAGTTAAAAATTGATTTCCTAACATCCCGCTATGCATAACAGCATCTTAAACAAACGCAAGGAATTAGACTCATAGACTTTAAGGCCAGAAGAGCCCATTATGATCATCTAGTCAAGTGGGTCTCAAACTTTTGTACTAGTGACCCCTTTCACACAGCAAGCCTCTGCGTGTGACTCCCCTTATACATTTAAAAAACACTTTTTTATATATTTAACACTATTATAAATACTGGAGGTGAAGCGGGGTTTGGGGTGGAGCCTGACTGCTTGTGTCCCCCCCACACACACACATCATAACCTCACGACCCCCTGAGGGGTCATGACCCCCAGTTTGAGAACCTCTGATCTAGTCTGACCTCCTGCACATTGCAAGCCACAGAACCTCCCCCACCCACGCCTGTGATAGACCCCTAATCTCTGGCTAATTATTGAAGTCCTCAAATCATGATTTAAGAACTTCAAGTTACAGAAAAGCCACCGTTTACACTAGTTTAAACCTGCAAGTGGCCTCTGCCCCATGCTGCAGAAAATGACTAAAAACCCCAGGGTCTTTGCCAATCTGACCTGGGGGAAAATGCCTTCCCAATCCCAAACATGGCAACCAGTTAGATCCTGAGCATGTGGGCAAGACCCACTAGCCAGAATTAAATATTTCCGAATCAGGGGCATTATTTGTAATGCATCCAGTACATTGAGATCTGTACAAGAGAACACCCTAGCCATCAATCAAATCTCCTGTTTTCAGAAACCACCCCAAAACACACTGAGTACAATTCTACTCCATGTTTATTAATCCGCCTTTGTTAGGCAACCTATTTGTGTCAGTCCCTTGTCAACACTTAAAACAGATTTACTGTCAATATGAAGGAAACACAGCCTGGTGATTATTAAATGATACTATTGTGATTCAAGAGATGCAGATTCTAGTAGAACTGGGTGGAAAATAAAAAGTGTTTTGCAGCCATTTTAGTAACTTTTTTTGTTTTGTTATTTATTGAAATATTGACACATTTTCAGCCCAGCTTTAGATTTTATTTTTGGCTCCACCACAAACTTCCTCTAATCGCATATCACTTCTCTAAGCCTCAGACTCCCCATCTGTAAAATGAGAATAATAATTGCACAGGCCACCGAGATGCTGTGAGATGTAATTCATTAACGTTTCTAAAGCACTTTGAGATCCTCAGATTATTGATTATTATGTGTAGTAGGCTAGCATCAGAGGCCCCAGTCAGGACCCAGGCTCTGTTCTGCTTGATATTGTACAAGACAGCCCGGTCCTCAAAGAGTTTACAGTCTAGTTTCAGACAATAAGTAACAAGTGGATATAACAGATAATAGGATGGAATGGGAGAAGGAGGACAAGAGGAATAGTGATAGGAACATGTGGTGATATGGACCAGCTATGTGCATAGCTAGATGGTTTATATGATGTAACTATTCAAATAAAATAGGTACAAGTCAGTCCTACTGGCCGTATCACTTGGTAATTTCCTACGGGGACCCACAACAGAAGTGGATCTTAAGAATTTGGAAGAGGACAAGATAGTGGTTTCACAGAGTAGCACAGGAAGGGCATTTCATGCAAAAGGGACAGCATGGAAGAAAGCACTAAGCCATTGGATGGAGAGGTGGACAAACGGGTCTTAGGGAAAGTGCTACACAAGTGCAAAAGATCATCATTATTAATATATTATCCCTGTTCCAGTGGGTTTTCACTATATTGCAGTTCAGACTTGATCTTGGTATATTCTTCATGAAGCATTTTGGGTACAGCTGTGCAAAACTTTTTGCTGTTATTTAAACAGCTCATGCAATTGACATTTTTCAAAAATTAAAAAAATGAAAGTTATTTGAACATTTTTCCAACTAGCTCAAACCTTGTTAATCATAACTAGTTTCATTGATGAAGATACAAATTTAAGGAGTTGTCATTTATGACAAAGTATATTACATTGCCATTTTTGAAAAAGATTATGGGAATTTGTATGTTGCATTACTGCTCTTTTGGTAAACTGACCCATAAGTTACTAACCTGTAAGACGTTTACATTAGTTTTATTGGATTTTAGTCTATACAGTTCCAAAACAGGCAGGATGTACCAAAGGGGTGGTTTTAACTGGTTTATAAATTAATTGAATACCATGTAAAGTGATGTAACTCTTTCTGACTCTGCTAGTCCTTCAAAAATAATGCACTCACGTGGCTTGCAGTTATCCTCAGGAAGGTTACTGGCATTCAATTTTGTGAATATACATGTTTCCAAAGCTATTAATAAGTTTAAATTAAACAATGTGTATTGTCTGTGCTGCAGAAATCATTCCTTAGCCAGGTAGAACTATTCCACAATACAAATAAAGATCTTCCTATTTATTACTATTGTGCTGTACTAAAATATAAAGCTTTGTAAAGATTAGGCTTCTAGGAGACTGCTCACCTGCGAATGTGAACAATAGCTGCTGAGACACACCAATAGATCTGAAGCAAGCTCCTCTACAGGGTTTTAGATTTAGCGACAGTGGGAGGAAAACACTTTCAACTGCAGTTATTTTAGTACCACTTGACAAGTGGAAAGATCCTGCTCTAAGCGAGAGTTTTAAGGCCAGAGCCTCAGCAGACTTTAATTGGTGTAATTCTTTTGAAGTCAATGGAGCTGTGTTGATTTATAGTTGCCGAGGATCAGACCCCCTAGTCTTTGACAATAAGGTAAATGATAACACTGAGACTGGCTCTGTGATATGTACATAACAGCTATTGCATGAAAGTGGGTTGTGCAGAAAAGCTCCAAGCCTGTGATTACTCCCTTCAGTAGACATGAATATTTAAGCTGACTTGCACACAGGATCCAAAGCTTTTAGATGATAAGTTTCAAATGAAAACACAGTTTTTACTTTAGACTGCTTAGTGAAATGTCAGCTCTTAAAGCATAAGATTCAACAATGATGTTGGCCTAGGAAAACCAGGAAGTGCTCTTCTCCTCACACGAGTTTTCTTCCTAATCTTGGAACACAAACGGAGTCCATCTTCATTTATGAAACTGCTCACTGGTGTAAGCGCTCTACCAAAAGAAAAAATTAGATCGCCTCATTTTCTATGTTTAAAAAGATACAGTTGAATTAATCACTTCAGTGAAAATTGCCCAGCCTCAGCTCAGTAAAAAGGAAAGAAGAGGGGTTTGAAAACAGGAAAAATTGAGACTAGCATTTCACTTTAAAGCACTGAAGCTAAAATTTAGACTTAGATGGTCTTAGAGTTGAAGTATGATTTTCACTTAGATTTTAACTCTGACATTTTGGTTCATTTTTCTGCACAATATGTAAAATGGTCACTGTTAAAAATTTGCCAGTTGCCATCAAAAACTACTGAAGGAATGTTATTTAGTACTACAAACACTGAGGTAACTATATTTACAGCAAAATGTGCCAAGTTTGAAGGGTGACCACTGTAACCTGATCAGATATCTCTCAGGCTGAGCTTAGTTGACTTCAGTATTTGTACTGATTTAGCTACTGGCATTCCAAAAATACACCCATGAAGCAAAATATAAACATGGCCCCTTCTTTTTATAGGATTGTCTGTAACTGTGACACACACTGAATACATGAGTTAATTAAGAAACTGTTAAAGAAGCTAGTCGTCCAGGTATAGTCTGCATTTGTTATTTCTTTTATCATCATCAATTTATCACAACTCTGTCCACAGAGTGTAGTCCATAACATTAGGCGCTTTGGTGAATGTTTTCTGACAAATGCTATTTTTGTCCCTGCTTACCGTAAATTTGCAGGGTCATATATGCAGCCAGAGTAAATCACTTAATAACACTGACGTCCATGGATTTACACCAACTGAAGATCTGGCCCTTAGTTTACTTTTCTGAATGTTTTGCTTTTGTTCTCTTCTATTTATAGATCAATTACTGAGTTTCCATCACATTACACAACCGAAGAGAACACCTGTCCTTTTATTTATATCCTAGTCTCTTCTGAGTTCCTGTCTCTGCTGTTTTCTGTATGCTTCTCACAGTAACTGCTTTCTGTTTCATGCCATTAATTCTGACTGCATCTCATTCCAACATTTCCTGATTTAACCTAAAATCTCTGTTTATGACCCTTGATCCCTTTGAGATGACTGATGGAGCAGCGATCACCAAAGGAGATACGCTGTTAGATGGGTTGATCAGTGCACAGAGCAAACAAGAGATCCTGTTCAAAATGTAAAGTATCACTAATGGCAAGTTGTCTTCTCATTTTAAATACGGAGCAAGCAAGAGATAGCTTAGCATCAACTGACATAAGCCAAATATTTACTGTAGGTTGGATTGTGCCTGGCACCTACACACATGCCCAGTGATAGGGAAGTACATAAAGAGCCTCTCCTTCTCTCAAATTCCAGCTTGTGTGTTCCATGTAAAGACAGGCAGACTTTACTCCATTCAGGGGCTGCACCACGCTATTCCCCTACTCCCCATTTCCCCAGGGAAATGTGCCAAAGGAGGTGAGAAGCAGTCAGGGATATGGCTTGTTCCCCGTTCCCAATCACCTGCCAGCAGAATTGGCCAGCCATGTGAGAGGCATGCAGTGGGCATCTGACCTTCAAAGAGACTCAGTTTTGAGAATCTGGCCCACAGTATCAGATTTGAACATCTAGAACTAACACTCTCCAGTGTGCAGTGTTTGATTAATACCAAAACAGGATTCTGGGGAGATGCCTTTATTGTTTATCATCTGACCTCTTCTCTGTTTGTTTGTCTCACATGTTGTAGGAGGTGACTATACTTGTGCATTGTAATGTTTTTTTTCTTAGAGAACTGTTTGTATTTTTATCCTTTAAAAATAAACAAATGATGAAGCACCTGTGTCAGTGTAAAATTAAACTTGTTATCATGGGGATGACTAGTTTTACATATATTTCCGAAGGAATTCACATCTGATTTATCATGGAGATACGTGGTGAGAAAACTCTTCTTGAAACAGGATATCATCCTGACTACCGTACTACCCTTGAACGGGCTGCACTACATTTAATGCTATTAAGAAGTCAAGCAGGATTCTGCAAAACAGTGGTTCTTCATTGTTTGGTCTTAGCCAGAAAAAAAGGTCCCAGCATATGCTAAAAGCCTGGCTCTGCTTGACAGTGCCCCACTCATTTCTGCATGTTACAACCCATGATGGAGCTTGAGCTACTGCAAACCTAAATCTAATTTGTCTGGATCCCCAAACAGAGTAGTGATACCATGGTGGTGGGCATGGCTTAAAAGCCTGATGACCCAAAATCCTGTTCCCATTGACAGCTGTGGACCTCATGCTTTAAGATAGGAGAACTTGAAGTACTGTACCAATATTGACATACTTAGGAACAGCATCTCATTTCTGATTCCCCTATAGTGTTACAGTACAAATTTATATTAAAGAAATCCTTTAGCAATACTTTTAACTACCATGATTTCTCTGAATTGCAAGTCCACCACTGTATGCAATATAACAGTCTTCCAACAAGACATTTCCCCCAGTTCCAGTTAAAAGGAACCAGTCCAGTTTAAATCATCAGTTGCTCTCCATCTGTGATGGGAAATAGCCCTTACATGCTCATGGGTTCATAGCTACATGAAAAAGTTTGCAGTCATGTCTCACCCAAAATAAACGGCTTAATCCCAAAGGTAGGGTGAGTATCTCAACTATGAATCACAGCCTGTTTCTCAGAATTCATTCCTAGGGGATCTGGTCAGAGGCCCTGACCCACTGAAGCCAATGGAAAGACTCTCATTAACTTCACTGGGCTTTGGATTAGGGAGTAGAGATAGGACATGACAACACTCCATAATCAAACTGCTAAAGATACTGCTTTATTACGCTTTTCATCAAAGCTTTTGATACGGTCTCCCACAGTATTCTTGCCAGCAAGTTAAAGAAGTATGGATTGGATGAATGGACTATGAAGTGGATAGAAATCTGGCTAGATTGTCGAGCTCAACAGGTAGTGATCAACTGCTCAATGTCTAGTTGGCACCTAAGCGGAGTGCCCCAGGGGTCTGTCCTGGGGCCGGTTTTGTTCAACATCTTCATTAATGATCTGGATGATGGGATAGATTGCATCCTCATCAAGTTCATGGATGACACTAAACTGGGGGGAGAGGTAGATATGCTGGAGGGTAGGAATAGGGTCCAGAGTGACCTAGACAAATTGGAGGATTGAGCCAAAAGAAATCTGATGAGGTTCAACAAGGACAAGTGCAGAGTCCTGCACTTAGGATAGAAGAATCCCATGCACTGCTGCAGGCTGGGGACCGACTGGCTAAGCGGCGGTTCTGCAGAAAAGGACCTGGGGATTACATTGGATGAGAAGCTGGATATGAGTCAAGAGTGTGCCCTTGTTGACAAGAAGGCTAACGGCATATTGAGCTGCATTAGTAGGAGCATTGCCAGCAGATCGAGGGAAGTGATTATTTCCCTCTATTCGGCACTGGTGAGACCACATATGGACTATTGTGTCCAGTTTGGCTCCAACTACAGGAAGGATGTGGACAAATTGGAGAGAGTCCAGCGGAGAGCAATGAAAATGATTAAGGGGCTGGGGCACGTGACTTACAAGGAGAGGCTGAGGGAACTGGGGTTATTTAGTCTGCAGAAGAGAAGAGTGGGGGGGATTTGATAGCAGCCTTCAACTACCTGAAGGGGGGTTCCAAAGAGGATGGAGCTCAGTTTTTCTCAGTGGTAGCAGATGACAGAACAAGGAGCAATTGTCTCAAGTTGCAGTGGGGGAGGTCTAGGTTGGATATTAGGAAACGCTATTTCACTAGGAAGGTGGTGGAAGCACTGGAATGGGTTACCTACGGAGGTGATGGAATCTCCATCCTTAGAGGTTTTTAAGATCTGGCTTGATAAAGCCCTGGCTGGGGTGATTTAGTTGGGGTTGGTCCTGCTTTGAGCAGGGGGTTGGACTAGATGACCTCCTGAGGTCTCTTCCAACCCTAATCTTCTATGATGCTATGATAATCATAATAGAGGAATAAAGGATCATTTTGAGCTTCTGAGAGAAAGCTTGTCATTGTCATTTTCCAGCCTACCTGGGCTACCTGACGGCCATTCACGTCCCTACCCTCTGTTGGCCAGAAGCTGGGAATGAGCAACGGAATGGATCACTTGATGATTACCTGTTCTGTTCATTCCCTCTGAGACACCTGGCATTGGCCACTGTCGGAAGACAGGATACTGGGCTAGATGGACCTTTGGTCTAATTCAGTATGGCCGTTCTTGTGTTCTTATGGCTTAGGTCTCCCAGGAATTGCCCTCGCAATACCACCATGTTAGCTACTCACTTACTGGATTTCTTTTCCCTCACGCTCACCACTGCTGCTTATCCTGGCTGACTGGTTTACTGTAAGATGAATGGAAAAAGAAATCTTTTTTTCTAGTCAGCAAATCTGAATAATTGCTTTCTATCACTGCGCTTCATAGCTGAAAGGGGCAAGTTTAATTAAACAAGAAAGCGCTGGAGTTCAACAGTACTTCAGTCACACAAATAGTTTAATAACATGCTGTCCTTTCATGGCAACACAGTCGCCTTTTCAGCAATATTTACTTTTCTGCTAATATTTCCAGTCTGTTTTTGCAAAATCACACTAGCAGCAATCTGCCAAAAGCTAAAAAACAATTTGCAATTAGCAGAGGAAGGCTTGGAGTTTGCACAGAGGAAAAAAAAATCACTGCACAAATAATTCACTAAGGGCTCAATTCTGCCTGGTGCTGAATTACGCTTGGTGCGGTTGAGCACCCTCAACTTCCATTGAACTCAACCATCCACTCACATTAACTGAGCCTTGAGGGTGCTAAGCAGTACCTTGCAGAATTGTGCCCCAAAAGGAGCATGTTCATTAAGAAAACTAGTCCAATATAAAGGGAATTTAAACAGCATATTTCATCATCTTTATTTCAATTATTTTAATATATTTTTGTTCTGGACATGTGCTATCAGAATTTATTATATTAATGTCTATTGCTCCTCTAGTATAGGAGATGTACTAGAGCCCAAGGTTTCATAGATTTTAAGCCTGATGGGACTGGTATGGTAATCTAGTCTGTCTTCCTGCAGAGCACAGGCCATAGAAACTCACTCCGTAATTTCTGCAGCAAGCCGATAACGTGTGCTTGAGCTATGGCATGTCTTTGAATCAAGAGTGGATGTCTTTCTTAAAAACTTCAAGTGATGGTGAATCTATGTCCTTAGGTAAGCCATTCCAGTGATTAATGACCCTCACTGTTAAAAACGTGCACCTTATTTCTAATTTGAATTTCTGTAGCTTCAGCTTTCAACTACTGGATTTCATTACATCTTTTCTGCTAGATTAAAGAGCCCTCTACTGTCAGAAATCTTTACCCTGTGTAGGCACTTGTAGACCGAGTCACCTCTTAATCTTGAGCTAGCCCAACGTACCTAAACAACTCTTATAATCTGTTACAAGAAAATCATAACAGTTTTAGAGCTAGAGCAGATCACCTCCAAAATACCTGTCTAAAGTGAATGTGTCGATGGCTTCATTAACATCCAATGAGACCCAGCTAACCTACACACAAAGGGACAGTTCCTCAGCTGTAAATTGTCATAGTTCCATTGAAGTCCTCTGCCACTAGATACTTTCCTGGGAACAATGCCTTACACAATACATGAACTGCAATCATTCTAATAATATCACATTAGGTTTGAGTGAGTCACTCAGCTAAAATGGTGCCAGTGAAAGTCATTGTTTTCCAATGGAAACATCTTTGGTTCAGAGGGAAAACAGAGTTACTATCTTGAGCATTCCTATTTTAGTCAGAGAATTTTAAACTGGGTTTCCCTATAGACTTCTCAATTGTCCAAAATACCTTTTAACACAGCCACACAATATAATAAAATGACCTTAAATCTTGAAGATGGAACCTGAAACCATTACAAGCCTCAGCTAGCAATGGCTGAACCACAGTCTTTTGGAGAATCACCCAAAATTTCAAATGCTTCTCCATAGAATTTTGGGTTGGAAGTTAAACTGGGTATCTGAGAAGTATTGGCTTTTTTTACAAGTTTCCTGACTGCAAATGAATCAAAATTATCCAAAGTTTGGGTGTTTGTTTAAACAATCTTTTCTTCATTCCAGCTTTGTTTGTTTGTTACCAAATCTAATGGATACCAAACCCCACTAAGAAAATGAAAACTTACCCAACATTTTCTAACTTCAGGAAAGCTTAACTTTGGTAGATTTGTGCCATTTCTAATTTCATCTGGACTATTTCATCTATTCATAACCTACCGCAATCTGCACATGCAAAAAGAAAACAAAAACTTACTAAGTTCACGACCAACATTTTAAATGAATAAAGAAAGCATCAGTATGTGCTTTACTAATTTCACAGCACATTTGTGCATCACTGCACTTAAAAAAATCTGATGGAGAAACAACAGTGCCTGAAATAAGTCTGCACTTAAATATCTTATGTGTATGAGCTAATGTACCTGAAATACATTTAGATACATCTTTGTACTAATGAAGAGCAATGGTGCCCTGAAAAACTGCTAGATATGCATGTTCAAGGTGTGTGTTTTACATATGAATAATGATAGTGAAATTCATCTTCATAAAATGACAAAATAGGAGGCTGATGATTTCAGGCAGTTCTTCCTGCTTATGCCAAATGGTTTACATATCTGGCAAACTGTTTCTGTGGCACCCTGCCAAGCACATCTTAATGTGCTTTTCCAGGTAACACCTAATTCAGAGGAAAAATACTGTGAGTGAAATTCACTCTAGCGTTGGGTGCACATGCAAGGCCGTCTGTACTAAAGCATCCCAATAGGGATGCCCAAGGAATGTGCAGA